TTGTCTACAGTGGTTCCTGCTGGGCATTTGTTTGGCTGTACAGTATGTCTTCATAAATGTTACAGCACATTAGCCTTACAGAGCTTATATGTTATGCCTTATACTACAGTACTTCATTATGTTGCAATGCTGCAGCCAGTTTTTGTGGCGACAGTAATTTCTCTGCAGGTTTTTGTTGTTCTTCCACTTTTAATCATATCTATTCTGTATCAAATTGTTAAACATTTTACATGACTTCCTATGATTAATGATGGGAACGTCTGTGTTGAAGAGGTTTAGGGTTTGTGGTCCCCGGAGAGAACTCATGCAGAGTGGGCAAGGCGTCATTGGTGGCAGCCAGTTAATATAGCACCAAGCCCTTTGCAGGTCATGTTTTGTACTTGTGCATTCTTGGAGCTGTCCCATGATGGTAAACCTCATGTATAGCTTCTGTGCATTACTATAGAGGTTTAGCATTGTATGCATCATTCTGCACAGCCTATTTATAGGACACCACTTAACCCTTTATTTCTTTTCATAGGTTTGATCTTTAACATGACTTCCTACATTATTGATCTGGCAGTCCATTTTGTAACTGTGACATCAAATATATATATTTTTTTATAATGGGCTTACAATACATCATCATTTATGGCAGCTATTTCATTTTGCTACACTGGATTCTTCACTTGTTATGTGGTGTTCTTGTATAATATTGGTGGTATCTATACTACACCACATTGATAAACCTCTTACTTGACTTCTTAGGAGACTGGCGAAAATCTGTAATTTCAGAGGTTTTGGACAAGTAAGCAGTTTCTTGTGCTTATGCAGCAGCCTTGTGTGTAGCTACAGTAGTTAGTGTTACAGCAATAAGACCTTTGCATGACATGCTTTGTACTCTAGCACTTCTGGTGGCATTGATCCTGTACCATAAAGTTTAACTTGTATGCCTTTCCTATATAGTTGTTATGGAAAGTCTTTATACGGTTTAGGACTTTTATGTAGTGTTTTTGTCCGTACGCTATGGCACATATTTGGGTACAGTAGTATAACCAGTTGATATACAGTCATGTGAAAAAGAAAGTACACCCTCGTTGAATTCTATGTTTTTTTTTTTTTAGTATCGGAATGTAATAAAAATCATCTGGTCCTTAACAGGTCTTAAAATGGTTGAATACAACCTCAGATGAACAACTCATTATATATTACACTGTGTCATTATTTTACAAACATGAAGCCAAAATGGAGAAGTTGTGTGAAAAACTAAGTACACCCTTAGGTCTTCCATAGGACATCTAGGTGCTGCTAGTCAAATGTTCTCTATGTAATTGATCACCAGCAAGTGTGACCCCCATTGTTTTAAGACAGTGCCAAGGAGGAAAGACATCAGCAATGGTCATAGAGAAGCAATTGTTACTGCCCATCAGTCTAGGAAATGCCATAAGGCCATTTCCAAACAAGTCCATCATTCTACAGTAAGGAAGATTATTTACAAGAGGAAAATATTCAAGTTAGTTGCCAGTCTTCCCAAGAGTGGACGTCCCAGCAAATTCACCCCAAGGTCAGACTTCGAGAAATTGCAGAAAAAAATTGAAGAGTTAAATCTCAGACTCTACAGGCCTCAGTTAGCATGTTAGTTGTTAACCCCTTCATGACTGAGCTTGTTTTTAGTTTCCGTTCGTAAATGACTTGACTCTTTTTTTGCTGTCTGATTCTTCCACTTCAGTCATATACTTTCTTACAAAATGCACCCACACATATATTGTTTTTTAGAGGACAGATAGGGCTATATATTTATATCACATATGTGTACCTAACGCCTCACTTAGGACAAATAAAATATTAAAATTGAGGAAAAAACTTAGAAAACACTTTTCCCCCCGTTTTTGTAGTATTTTTTTTTTAGAAAAATAGCACCGCTAAAAAAAATACAATAAATACATTAATTTATTTGTCCTTAATTTGGAAAAAACCTCACATCCCTAGCATTTTAGAAATGTTTCTGTTCTTCTCGGCCTAAAACTAAAACCTAACATTTTAATCTTTTTTTTCCCTAAAAGCTAAAAGTGGTCACCTGGCATACAATGTTACTGACACTGTCGCATTAGTGACAGTGACATAGTTTGAACATTGTCGATAGAAGGGGTTAAATTAAATAAAATTAACCCACTAGGGTGAAAAACAAATCTGCAGCTCAGCTGCATATTTTCATTGTAATGGGCTAATTTTTATATTTATTGATATTATCAACATTTTTTTTAAATATGTACATTTTACTTGTCACTTTTTACACTTTTCACTATTTTTTCCCCTATATACCAAAGTATTGTAGAGTCGAATCTGAGACCATTTTTCCAACAGCTAAACCTTGGCCGAAATTGGGTCATGCAACAGGACAATGGTCCCAAACACACCAGCAAATCTAAAACAGAATGGCTTCAAGAAAAAAATCAGGGTGTTGAAATGGCACAGTCAAATACCAGACATCAACCTGATTGAAATGCTGTGGTAGGACCAAGAGCTGTGCATAAACAAATGCCCTCAAACCTCAATGATGTGAAGCAATGCTGAAAAGAAGAGTGGGCCAAAATTCCTCCACAATGATGTGAGAGACCGATAGCCATACAGAAAGCGATTACTTTAAGTTATTGCTGCTAAAGGAGATTCTACAAGCTATTAAATTGTAAGGTGTACTTACTTTTTCAAACATGTATTTTTTCAACTTTGGCTTTGTTTTTAAAATAAATATTGGCACGGTGTAATGTGTCATGTGGTGTTTGTTTTTAATCTGAGGTTGTATTTACCTAATTTTAAGATCTGCTAAGGACCAGATGATTTTTATTCTGTCCTAATATGTGAAACCATAGAGTTCAAAGAGGGTGCACTTTCTTTTTCAAACGACTGTAAGTCTCCAGGTCTCTCCAGTTTTAGTTGCTTGAAGCCAGCCAGCATTTTTTTTTTATTAAGGTTTTACATGAATACAACAACATTTACATTTAGCTTTAATGAGCTTTAAATAAAAGAGAGAAAGAGAAAGGA